CAGTCAAAATTTTTCTTGAGAGATTAAATTGGCACAGGAAGATTGGTGAATGCAGTCAGAGAAAAGAAAGTTGGTTGATTTTGCTGAATATACATTTAGATTTCATTGAACATCAACTATATGTGAGACAACATCATAGGTTTCAGAAACTTTCAAATGTCATTTTGTTTAATGATATTTATTCCTCACAGCAATCAGGTAAAATTCCTATCAATGTTCCCATATTATAGATAAATTCCTCAAGGCTCAGAGAGGTTAAGTGATGTTCCTATCACCAAGATTGGGCATAACCGGACAAGCAACAAGTGCTTTCACAATGAATAAACCTGACTTCCCAGCGAGAAAGTAGCAGAGAGGGAGTTTGAGCCCAGGTCCTCCAATTCCAAGTTCGTCACTCTTGAGATAGTGACAGTCTGATGTACTCATCGACAACATAAAAGTTTACCTGCCAGCTGGGCGAGGTGGCTCATGCCTGTAATCCCAGCACTTTGGGAGGCCGAGGCGGGTGGATCATGAAGTCAGAAGTTTGAGACCAGCCTGGGCAACATGGTGAAACCCAACCTCTATTAAAAATATAAAACTTAGCCAGGACATGGTGGCATGCACCCGTAATTCCAGCTACTCCAGAGGCTGAGGCAGAAGAATCACTTGAACTTGGGAAGCAGAGGTTGCAGTGAGCCAAGATCACACCACTGCACTCCAGCCTGGGTAACAGAGCAAGACTCTGTCTCAAAAAAAAAAATAAGTTTACCTGCCAGATAGGTTGGAATGTCTTTATAAGGGATCCTCTTTCTCAGCTAGTAGTGGAAGTACTCGGACAAGTTATTTTTCTCATGCTTGCATTCATTCATCTCTTCAACCAATTATTATTTTTTGTGATCAAGTCTTATTCTGTTGCCCAGGCTGGAGTGCAGTGACATGATCTTGGTTCACTGCAACCTCTGCCTCCCAGGTTCAAGCACTTCTCACACTTCAGCCTCCCGAATAGCAGGCACTACAGGCACGCGCCACCATGCTCAACTAATTTTTGTAATTTTAGTAGAGACAGGGTTTCACCATATTGGCCAGGCTGGTCTTGAACTCCTGACCTCAAGTGATCTGCCCACCTAGGCCTCCCAAAGTGCTGGGATTACAGGCATAAGCCACCGCCCCCGGCCATTCTTCAACCAATTTTTAATGAGCACACACAATGGGGACGGCACTGTTAGTGAATTGCCCTGAGATTTAGACAGGTGGTAGGTAAAGCATAGCGAGTAATTTCTACCTTCCATGGTTAGAAACAACTAAATCTTGTAGGGACAAAGAGATTAAGGCCCACAAGAAATTCAGTCTCGTGAGGAAAAGACAAACAAACGAATGAATGGGGCAAAGTTTCCTAAGGAATTCATGGGTGGACCTTGGGAGAACATCATTTTTCTTTGATTCACCTTTTTGTTACTTTAATAATTGCTTTTACTAAAAGCAGTGTTTGATGGCTGAGTGTGGTGGCTCATGCCTATAATCCCAGCACTTTGGGAGACAAAGGGTCACTTGAGTCCAGGAATTTGAGAGCAGCCGGGCAACATAGGGAGACCCCATCTCTACAAGCAAATTTAAAAAAATTAGCCAGGTGAGGTGGTGTGTACCTATGGTCCCAGCTACTCAGGAGGCTGAGGTGGGAGGATCGCTTGATCTCAAGAGGTCAAGGCTGCAATGAGCTGTGATTGCACCACCGTACTCCAGCCTAGGTGAAAGAGCAAGCCTCTGTCTCTTTTGAAAAAATAGTGTTTAATATCAATCATATTATTAAGATATTTTGCTTCAAACAGGTACAAGGGATTCCATCATACATGGACAAGTAAGGCAAAAATAATCATTATTACCATGTTAAGGCACTGAGCTTAGTGTCCTGTAAATAACAACAGGAAGTGTACCCTGACATCTCCACCTTCTGTAAATAACAACAGGAAGTGTACCCTGACATCTCCACCTTTCCACACAGGCCCAAGTTTAGCTGGGGGAAATGTCATGGAAAAGAAACAAATGGTAGGCCAGGCGCAGTGGCTCACGCCTGTAATCCCAGCACTTTGGGAGGCCGAGGCGGGTGGATCACGAGGTCAAGAGATCGAGACCATCCTGGTCAACATGGTGAAACCCCGAATCTACTAAAAATACAAAAAATTAGCTGGGCATGGTGGCGCGTGCCTGTAATCCCAGCTACTCAGGAGGCTGAGGTAGGAGAATTGCCTGAACCCAGGAGGTGGAGGTTGCGGTGAGCCGAGATCGCGCCATTGCATTCCAGCCTGGGTAACAAGAGCGAAACTCCGTCTCAAAAAAAACCAAACAAATGGTAAGTCCTCTGTGTCTTTGTTTCTACTTTCACTATGGAACATCGTGAGCTACAAAAGCCACAGAGTGCCTGCATGGCCCGGATCACAAACCAGCAAGACTGTCCAGCCTCTCCATGCATCAGGCAAGGTAGGTATTTTTGGCTGGAATCTTACCAAACTGCACTTTCACTTCAACACAAAGCTTTGTTTTCATAAACTTCTCAGAGATGCTCATAGCATTCCAAAGGAAAAGAATTCACACAGAATTGTGAAAACTTTGTCCTGGAAAGTGATCGAAAGAGTGTAGTTTACATCAGAGGAGGAATATTAAAAACCGTATATCTGATAAAGTCATCTACTTCAGAATCAGCAGCCTTTCTTTCTATCATTTGATGAAGGTCATGGAAAAAGTGGCTAATAAGCCATTTCCCTTGAAGATAGCTACTGGAGTCTTTCAACACGTTTACCTCTTAGTTTTCGTCCGTTAGGTACACTGGTCGACACCGATGCTATCTGAGAATTCCTATCCTGTGAGTCTTTCCTGGAAACCTCAAAGGCCATTGACATCTCCAAACCTTTACAAGAGTTTTGTTGGCAAATAAAAGCCTTACTTGGACACAAAATGTTCATACTTGCTGAATTTATGAAGCACAAGCTATGCTTGGCATCAGTGCACCTGGTTTTACTTCTCCGGTACATAAAGAAACACAACCTCCCATCGTGTCTCCTTGCTTTTGACGCTGGCATGCGCTCACCTCTAAGACTTGGCCGATGATTTTGAGATTGTGTCATATCTGCTTCACATTTGATAATTTCATCAGTGTCCAAGCCTTAAAGCTATCTAAAAGAATTTTGTCAAGGATGTAAAAGGGACTATGATATTCTTCCTTAATCTACATAAGTTCAGAGACTTTCCGAATGGCAAGTCTTGGAGTATTTGGGTCAACCTCAAGCACAAGGTGTGTTTTGTTTCTGTTTGCTTGCTCGCCTTAAGTAAAAGGAAAGGCTCTCTGCTAGAACACACGAGAGATTATTCATGGGCTTGAGTTACCTGGTGGATAATTCTTTCCGTCATATTGACATCAGTCTTTCCATTCAAGACCCTTCGCCATGATCATGGGTGCCGCCACGCTGGAAGAAGACGATGTGGGCAGACAATTATGTAAATGTTCTAGTTATAAAGGAAGCAGTCTGTAGCCTGAAGACTCAAGTGCTTTGTAGCTAAACCGTACCCAGGTCTTTGGAGGAAAATAATCCATCCTGTGGTGGTCAGCCTCCGAAATCGTTCTCTGTAATTCTCGCCTCTTCGTATTCAGGTCGCTTTGTAGTTCCTGCCTACAATAAGTAGTGGCGATCAGTGGAACTAAGAGGATACCACAGGAATGATTGATGGGGTGTTATTTCTGAAGGGATAGGTCATCAAAGGCATCTGTGTTCTATATTCATTTATGTTGGTTGTTATTAGTGTCCATTTCTTTTCTTTCTCTCTCTCTCTTTTCTTTCTTTCTTCTTCTTCTTCTTCTTCTTCTTCTTCTTTTTTTTTTTTTTTTTTTGATGGCATCTTGCTCTACTGCCCAGGCTGGAGTGCAGTGGTGTGATCTTAGCTCACTGCAACCCGTACCCCCAGATTCAAGCGATTCTCCTGCCTCGGTCTCCCAAGTAGCTGGGACTATAGGCATGTGCCAGCACTCCCGGGTAATTTTTTGTATTTTTGGTAGAGATGGGGTTTCACCTTGTTAGCCAGGCTGGTGCCGATCTCCTGACCTCATGATCTGCCTGCCTCAGCCTGGCGAAATGCTGGGATTACAGGCATGAGACACTGTGCCTGGCCAGCGTCCATTTCTAAGTATACTATTTTGTAAAGTTATTCCTCCCCCCTCATTCAGGCGATGCATCTTTTCTGAGCCCTGTAGTGCGCAGTGGCACATCTGGCATCCACTAGCAGGAAATCAGCATAACCAGCAGAGGGATTGGGGAAACAGGAAGTAGCAGAGCTGCAGCCACTCTGCCTAGTGACACCACATCATGGGAGTTTCCACTGTTTGCTTTGGGGTTGCCCAATTCTGCCTGACCCCCATTTGGAGAAGAAATCCGTCTAAAAAGAATCACTGAGATTAACATTTAGGGTCAGGATCTTGCATCCACTTGTGTAAATGCAAACAAGTTTTGGCTGGGTATGGGGGAAATAATTTTTAACCTTTTTGCTAGACTGCAAGAAATTTTGATAAAGTCAAGCTTCGCATTTTGCTTTCATTAAAATAATTAGCAGGGACATCTGCATTAACACAGGATCATTAATTTATGATCTAGTAGATCTTTTCCACCTCTAGCTTCCCTGATGAAAGAGAATGAAACAAAAAGGAAGTGTTTGATCAAGACTTCTCCCACAGATTTAAAAGACGGCCCTTGAATAACATTGAAGATACTGATTTTGCTGTTGTCTATTTAGTTTGCTGTGAGATAAACATATTAAGCAAAATTGAGGCATTAAAATTCGGATTTTTGTACTACTGTCTGCTAAATCATTAACATGAAAGCATATTGTCATACTCTTTAAATTCCAAATAAAACCAAATGTCAGTCATGTCAGCGTAACCTAAGGTGTACCATTTTTTGAAACTAAAATCACAGCTTCCTCTAAGGGACTGTCAGAAAATATAATGAAATGATAAATAGTTTTGTTGTACTTACCCATTTACGCCACATCCTCATCATTCCATATTCATGTTCTTCTCTGTCTTGGTTTGAGTCTTGGTGAATTTTCCAGATGCAACACGTTCTAGAGGCAGTCAGAGTCACAATTCCAAATGGAATCCTCCAAAACAAAAAGTAACATGTATCCCAAGTAGATTAGTCTCATATTGCTGCTGTGACAAATTACCACAAGCTCAGTGGGTTAAAACAACACACATTTATTGCCTTACTGTTCTGCAGGACCAAAGTGTGGCACGGGTCTCGCTGAGCTAAAATCATGGAACCCAGGCGTTTAAGAACAGCCTGGGTAACATAGTAAGATCCCACCTCAAAAATAAAAAAATAAAAAAAATTACACGGGCATAGTGGTGCCTACCTGTGGCCCCAGCTACTCAGGAGGTGAGGTGGTAGGGTCACTTGAGCTCAGGAGGTCAAGGCTGCAGTGAGCCATGTTCATGCTATAGCACTCCAGCCTAGGTGAGAGAATGAGAACCTGTCTCAAAAAATACAAAATTTAAAATAAATAAAATCGCGGTGTCCATAAGGCTCTGACTCTTCCTGGAGGCTTTAGTGGAGATTCCATTTCCCAACCTTCTCCACTCTCTAGAGGTTGCCTGCATTCCTTGGCTCGTGATCCCTTTCTCTGTTTTCAAAGCCAACAACAGTGAGTGGAGTCCTTCTCATATCACGTTACTCTGACCCTTGCTTTGTAATCGCACCTCCTCCAGGCTCTTCTTCTGCCTCTCTCCACCACTTCTAAGGACTTTTGTGATTACACTGGGCCACCTGCACAGTCCAGGATCATCCCCCATCTCCAGGCCCTTAATTTAGTCACACCTGCGAAGTTTCTTTTGCTGTGTAAGGTAATATATTCACCGGTTCAGAGATTAGGATGCTGACTTGGTTTGGGGGTGAAGCATTGTTCTGCCTACCACAGTAATTTTTAGGGTGTCTAAAAATAACATTCTTTAGGACACAGTGCATTCTCCATCCTTAAAAAAAATGTGTTTCTAAGTTATAAGAAGCCAATGAATAATCAAGAAAAAAATCGTATTTACAGTAACTAAAAAAATACAATTCTTAGGAATAAATTTAACCAAAGAGGTGAAAGGCATCTATACTAAAAACTATAAAACATTGATGAAAGAAATTGTACAAGACTCAGATAAATGAAAAGATACCTCACATTCACAGATGGGAAGTGTAAATATTGTTAAAACATCCATACTACCCAAAGAAATCTAAAAATGTAATGCAATTTCTATTAAAATACTGATACAGTTCGCTTGTTTGTTCCCTCCAAATCTCATATTGAAATGTGGTTCCATTTTTGAAGGCAGGGTCTAGTGGGGGGTGTTTGGGTCATGGGGCCAGACCCCTCACAAATGGCTAGCTACTCTCCCCATGGTAATGAATGAGTTCTCTCTCTATTAGTTCACATGAGAGCTGGTTGTTTAAAAGAGCCTGACATCTCTCCTGCTCTTTCTTTTGCCATGTGACATACCTATTCCCTTTTGCCTTCCATCATGAGCGACGGCTTTCTGAAGCCTCCACCAGAAACCAAGCAGATGCCAGTGTCATGCTTCCTGTACAGCCTGCAGAATCATGAGCTAACTAAATTTCTTTTTTTTTATAAAGTACCCAGCCTAAGGTATTCCTTTATAGCAATGCAAGATAGACTAATACAAATGCCAATGAAATTCTTCACAAAAGTATTTAAAAAATAATAAAATTCCTGTGGATTCACAAAAGACCCCTAATGGGCAAAGCAATTTTGAGCAAAAAGAACAAAGCTAGAGGCATCACACTATCTGACTTCAAAATATACTACAGAGATATAATAACCAAAACAATATGGTACTGTCATTTATTTTTACAGAGGAACAAGAAAAAGAAACACAAAGCAAAACAGTATGATTCTGGCATAAAAACAGGCACGTCAACCAATGGAATCGAATAGAATAAATCTATGCATTTATAGCTAACTGATTTTTGATAAAGGTGCCAAGAAGACACAATAGAGGAAAAAAAGAGTCTTTTCAATAAACAGTGTCAGAAAAACTGGATATCCATATGCAGAAGAATGAAACTATATACATCTCTCACTATATACATAAATAAACTCAAAATGGATTAAAGTCTTAAGTGTAAGATCTGAAATGATGAAACAGCTGGAAGAAAACATAGAGGAAAAGCTCCAAGTCATTGGTCTGGGCAATGATTCTTTTGGATATGACCTCAAAATCACAGGCAGCAAAAACAAAAATAGACAAGTGGGATGATGGGATGACATTAAACTAAAAAGCTTCTGCAAAGAAAACAGCAGAGTGAAGAGGCAACCTGCAGAATGGGAGGAGATGGTTCCAAACGGTACATCTGATAAGGGGTTAACACCAAAATAGATGAGACGCTCGAACAGTGCAATTGCAAGAAAATAGCAGAGTGAAGAGGCGACCTGCAGAATGGGAGGAGATGGTTCCAAACGGTACATCCGATAAGGGGTTAACACCAGAATAGATGAGACGCTCGAACAGTGCAATTGCAAGAAAACAGCAGAGTGAAGAGGCGACCTGCAGAATGGGAGAAGATAGTTTCAAACGGTACATCCGATAAGGGATTAATAACCAAAATAGATGAGACGCTCGAACAATGCAATTGCAAGAAAACAACCCGATTTAAAGAATGGACAAAAAACCCGAATATACATTTCTTAAAAGAAGGCATACAAATGGCTAACAAGTATATGAAAAGATACTCAGCATCACTAATCATCAGGGAATGCAAATCGAAACAACAACGTGATATGACTTCATTCTTGTTAGGTTGGCTATTACCAAAAAGACAAAAGGTTAAAAGATGCAGAGAAAACAGAACACACCCTGTTAGTGGGAATGTGAATTGGTACAGGCATCATGGAAACAGTATAGAGGTACTGAAAACATTAAAGATAGAATGACCGTAGGACGCAGCAATCCCACTACCGGCTGTCTACCCAGAGGAAATGAAATCAGTATGTTGAAGACATATCTGCACTCCCGCGTTCATTGCAGCACAGTTCACAATAGCCAAGATACGAATCAACCTAAGTATCCATCAATGGGTGAATGAATAGAGACAATGTGGTGTCTATACACAATGGCAGACTTCAGCCGTAAAAAAGAATAAAATCCTGTCATTTGTGACAACATGGATGAATCTAGAGGATATGTTAAGTAAAATAAGCTAGACACAGAAAGACGAATACTGCATGATCTCACTCTTGTATGGGATCTAAAAACGATCTCATAGAAGTAGAGAGCAGAAGGGTGGTTACTAGAGAGTAGGGTAGCTGAGGGGAAGAAGGCGGGTGGACATGTGGATTAGAGCATGTACAGTCACAGTGAGATAGGAGGAAGAAGTGCCAGAGCGCTACGGTACAGCATGGTGACTGTAGTTAATGATGATACATCGTTTTCTTCAAAACTAAGAGAGTGAATAGTGTTCTCACACAAAAATAACTACGTGAGGTAATGCAAAATTTGTTAGCTGGATTTAGTTATTCCACCATGTATTTATCCATCAAAATGTCAGGTTGTATGTGATAAATACATACAATTTTACATCTATTTAAGTAAAATAAATACTTTTCTTTTCAAGACAGTCTTGCTCTATCACCCAGGCTGGAGTGCAGTGGCGCCATCTCAGCTCACCACAACCTCCACCTCCTGGGTTCAAGCAGTTCTCTGCCTCAGCCTCCCAAGTAGCTGGGATTACAGGTGCCTGCCACCACACCTGGCTAATTTTTTGTAATAAATACATTTTTAAAAGAATGGAAGGATAAAAAAGAAGCCAATGAATCCCCCCAGGTCTGCACCCACTAAAAGTATCACACAGACAGACCATGGCAGCCAACAGCAGGGGTCCGTGCTTTCTTTGCAATACTTCCTGATGAACTGACCATCGAAAGAAGAACAGGGAATACACAGTCCATGAAGCAGCCCCATCTAGAGAGGGAGCTGGCATCTCCCAGGGCTACTATTGCTACTGTTTTTAAGGTTCCATGGAGTTATGAAGCATTAGTCCAAAAAGCGTTGCTGTTATATTTAGGAATTATTAGAATTCAAAACTTAAAAATTATTAGTATTCATTTTTAACGATAAAAATTAATAGTATTTGAGCCATAGGGAAGAAAGGCACATCTTAAATTTGTTACACATGAAAGAAATAAAAAAGACAGCTGAGATTTCTTTCTATTTGACATTGTTCTTTCTCTCCCCAAGAGGCAGGCATAGGATGGATCTACATTTTGGGTTATGTTAACCATGTTCTTCCCAATGGTCATTATTTATGGACTTAACAAGCAATACATTTCTTAATCATGCCTTTTCCCTGCTAATACTTACGTTTCCTTATTGAAATTCATGTTTTCTTATTTGCAGTAAGTAGTATTTCATGAAATAGAGATGGTTGCGTGACTCTGACAATCTGGTATGTGCTCAGTGATTTCATATATACATGAAATTCACCCCATTTTGATCAGATTAGAAAAAATAAATGAAAATGAAATAACTGCAGTAACAAAGCTAGTTGACTGGCCAAAAGTTTCTGTCAAGTCTTCATTCCACATGCTTATTTATTATACCTAAAAATGCTACCTAGAATTCCAAAGATGAAATAAGATGAAACAGCGTCCATTTGGACTTTATAGATGGGGCCAGGGCAAAAGTGAGTAAAGGAAGATTGATTTCTCCACTGGGCAAATGGCACAGATTTCCTTTTGATGGTCAACTGTTTCCGACACAGAAGGAGCCCTGGTGTTGCAAACGCCACCCTTGATCACAAACATCCATAAAGTCACAATAAGGATAAATCTAAGGCATGTGCTGCCCACATTTTTCTTCTATTAAAGCATCTTGGACAAATGAGAAGGGAAGACAGAGTATTTTTTCAAATCCTACAGGTGGTTTCAGTTACTCCATATGTTTGTCTAATTGCTCAAATGTTACCTACATAATATTGAGAGCAAATAATCTTTTGCAAAGTTTTTTACTCAGCGTTGAATGCTGGCCTGCACCCTCTTTAGCATAAATCCCTTTTGCTGCATGCAAAAGCTGAAATATGCTGTGTTCCTGTCTTACCCTTTGCCATCCAGTCTCAAGAAGCTGGATCTGACAAGCATAGCATTTTTAAAAAGAAGGGGGGGCGGTGCAAGCAGGGGACTGCCACCAGCTGTTGCTAATAAAACAACAGCAGCCCCTATATTGGTAGCTTCTTCCCCTAACTTCATATCCCCGTAGTGATGGCAGTAATTGGGCAGGGGGTTAAGGGGGCATTTCTTTCTCAAGGGACACAATAAGCATATTAATATTAACGCAATGTCTGCTCCTTCAGATGGGAGTGGATAAGATGAAATGGTTTAGAGGAGACTTGATCAATCATTCTGTTTCTTGGCAAGAAAATGGTGCCTTTGCATTTAAGAAAGAACATCTGGGTGG